CAATGGTCTCAGCAGTTGTTGATGAAGATCAGACAGTGTTACATTACATAGAGCTGTCATTAATCAACTGACCCATTAATACCTAACACCATCATAAAGGCAATTTGCAGATATTCTCATTTAATCCTTAAAACAGCTTTCTTAGGTAGATGTTAAACCTGCTTTAGGATGTGAAAAAGACTCAGACATCTGAAGTTAATTATCTCACCAGGATAAGTTATTTCTTTAATACAAGAGCTAGAGTTTGACTCAGATCTAGTTGTGCCCAGTGGCTTACTTTAGTAATTCCATTTTCCTGTGCATGTAAGTGTAGACCCTTTTTGCTTGTAGAATGTATTTAATGTGGTGTATCAGTTGGCCTTTGAATCCTGTGAGCCGATAAACCCTAAGATTTGTCCACTTAGGAATTAAAATAAAATACAGGACAGACTTGTAATCTGATTTTCTTGCTTCTCCCTACTTCCCTGGGTTTCTAGAATTCAGACCAAGAAGGAGGTGGAAAGAAAAAAAAGAAAAAGAAGGATAAGAAACACAAAAAGGATAAGAAGCACAAGAAGCACAAAAAACACAAGAAGGAAAAGGCAATGGCTGCAGCTACTGCAGCAGCTGTCACTCCTGCAGCCATTGCTGCTCCTGTAACCACATCAGCACAGGAAGAACCAGAGGCAGAGCCAGAGCCGAAGAAGGTATTCATGAATGCCATATATGTACATAGTTATCTTGTAGTTACAAATGGCTCCCATGAAAAGTCATCAATTTGTTGCATCGAGTAATATGATTTCCCTCTATATCCATCCCCAGAATCAAATTGAGAACATTCTCATCACTCAAAAAAAAGCAGCCATTCCTTATCTATTCCCGCCCTTAGAGCTATAGATAGTCATTAGTCTACTTTATTTCTGTGGCTTTATCTGCTCTGGAATTCATGTAAATTAAGTCATACAATATATGGGTCTTTGTGACTGACTTTTCTCACTTAGTATGATATTTTTGTGGTTCATCATACACTACGATGCAATATTAATCAGTACTTCAGCCTTGATTACTATGGAGTAATACCCATTATATGGATATATAAACCATTTTTTTATTCTATGATTATAGACATTCTAGTACATATGGAATTAGAAGCTCATAGTTTTTATTTCTATGTGCTTATTGGCCTTTTTATTATCTTGGAGAAATGTTTACCATATTTTAATTGGATTGTCATTTTTTGAGTTATAAGAGTTGGACAATGTAGTAGTTTGGATTGAGTTTCAAGGTTTGCCTTGAGCTTTCCTATTGACCAAAACTTCAGAACTAATGTACTTTTTTCATATAGTTTTCTCAGAAAGGCAAATACATTTTAATTAGTAAGGGAGCAAAATGGGTATTTTTAACAGTCTCTTTACTAAAAGGATTGTATACCTAGAACTGGAGTAGAAGGAAAGAGCAAGTCTTGAGCATTAAGAGCTTAGGCTTTAATCATAACCTTTTGTTTCCAGAAGTCATAAAACAGGTGTACGAAGTCAGGAGCAAGAGGTTTTTCTTCACAGGTGGAATTAAACAGTTATTCGTGGGGGAGGGTGGATTACAGTTTCACACACAGTTAGTCCTTGGCAGATTTGAACTGACATGACCATATACAATTTTTCCCCCCTTTTGATGTTGCTCTGAACTCAAGTGTATATGAGTATGTGCTTGGGCCATCTATATAGTGCTATTCTATGCTAACCATTTTAAGCAGTTGTTCTCTCCAATTAAATGAAGATTATACACAAATTTTTAATTGTAAGAGTTTTGGCACCAACTCGCACATTGTCCCAATGCTGTATGTGAGTATAAGTATTTATTATTCCAGTCCCTTTAATGCCGATCTTACTCACAATAAAGATGCTTTATCTTAGATAATACATGCAGACCAAGAGAAATTCTTGATCCCACAACTGTTTTATTTATTTAAGTAGATTTTATGCATTTTCTCTTGGTTCCTTGGTTTTCTTTTTAGTACAGAAATTGATAAGCTAGTATGTAGGCTAGAAATCAGGAACCCGAGCTCTTGTCTTTGTTTGTACGGAACTGTTTCTGTGATCTTGGGCAAATTACTGTAGCATATTTCTCACATGTAAATGAAAACAAAAGTATGATTTGTTCCACTTTATAAAATACAAAGTACAACATAGGTCATTAATGGAGATAGTCACTTAACAGGCTGGGTCTCTGAACAGTAAGGTGAAAATCATCCCAAGCATCTGTATTTGGCCAAGATTTGATTCTGTTGTGTATGCAACAAGTAGCTCATAACAAAAGCAATATGACCATTCTTTCTCTTTAAGGAGACTGAAAGTGAAGCTGAAGACAACCTTGACGACTTAGAAAAGCACCTACGTGAAAAGGCTCTGAGGTCAATGAGGAAGGCTCAAGTGTCCCCACCGTCTTAGATGGGAATGTTTTATGATGTAAATTTTATTTGGTTTGTACGCAATTCAATTTCAAAATTGCTAAAATGTGTTTGAGCTTTAGATTATAACATTTGTTGTAATAATTGCTAGGTTGAAGTTCACCATGTAAAAATAAAAAGGGGAGGCATGGATTTACATTGCAAAAGGTGTCCACAATGTATTAGTGATGTTCTTTCATTGAGAGCTGACATAAATTTCATTTTGAGTAAAGAATTTTAAGCCAAAAATAAATCCCTTTTTTAAAAAAAGGGATTTAAATATGGTTGGCATTTTATTATTTCCTTAATAAATGCCCCTGGCAGTTCCCGGTGGCTTTTTTTCTTTTCCCCCTTTTATTTCTCCTACCCTCCTTATTTTTGTCATTTGAGTGTTACCACCCATTTAAGTTATACTTCTGATCTTAGGGTTTATGAGCTTACCCAGAAATAAGACCACTGTTGAAGTACCACAAAAGTATAAATGAACATTTTAATGCCACAATCTTTCCTGTTGCCTGTGGAGTCTCTGCTGAATGAATCAGGATTTGAGCTCTAGGATGAGACAGAAAATTAAAGCATGTTGTTTGCCAGGACACTGTGGGTTTATATTGATGTGTAACAAGTTGATTTGGAACACTGGAATTTGATTCCCCCCCCCCCTTTTATTTTGTAAAGGCAATTAACTAGACCCAGGAAGGTTCAAGTAATATAAAATACTGGTTTTTGAAATATTGTGGCTCATTTCATAATTTCGTCTTGTTCTTCCAACTGGCATATACAGTTTTCAGAGCTCTTGTATTTGAAAGGCTAGGAGGGCCCAGACTTTGAAATATAGTGTCTTGTTTTCACTGTTTTTGTTTTTCAGGTTTTTTTTGTTTTTATTTTTTAACTAAAGCTATATAAAGCTTGTGGATTAAACAGAATAAATTTCTAAATTTAAAATTGTTTATCACTCTCTTTACTTACATGTCTTAGTTATGTAGAGAAATGCTCTTGGAAATTTTCAGGTGGATTTTGCTTTGATAGCCTTGCCTGCACTTACTCATCAGTCATTTTTGCTGATAAATACATTTTTAGCCTAAACATCTTGTATTAGCTTCTTGATAACTTTTATCTAGATAGCTAAAAGCCATTCTAAATTAAGTATGTCCAAAATAAGACCTTTTATGCCATCCATGCACACATCCATACCCTGCCCTCCCAGTTTTTCTCCATTTTAGTACTTATCACTATCCTTTTCTAACTCAGGCCAGGCCTGAAAACCTGCCATGTTACCTTCGGGACTGATTTCAGTTCGAACTCACTATCGCCATGTGCCAGAGGGGAGTTGTCTTGGATAGGATGTTCATGAAATCTTTCTGAAAAACTACCAAGTGGGTTCACGCTGTCAACCTATCAGTTTCACTGAGTCACAAACAAGCATTTTTTGTTAAGAAAGTGAATGAGTTGGCATGTAGTAAATAGGAGCTCTAATGGCTTAGTCCATAGAACAGCCCTACCTCTACCGTTATTAATCCACCAGGTGCTCCTCAGGAGAAAGATAGGGAATCTCCTTACAGCTTCAGAAACCCAAATGAGGATCAGCTATTAGTAGAGAGCAGTGAGGTCGGTTAAAGTAGGTTAAGTGTTGTTTCATGATGTTTGTGTGAGTAGGTATGTAAGTAAGTGTATTGTGTACACTGTGTTACAATGTAATCAATAGAATGGAAAATCACTGTTTTATAGGTGTAATGTACCAGCTGTTGAACTACAGAGAAGTCAACAGCTCAGGTTTTCTCTGAAAAGGGTCACAATTAGTAACTAAGAAAGCCTTGGTAGTACAGTAATCATTTGGCTGCTAACCAGCCAGCCAAGTTCCTTGTCCTATTAAGATTTCTGAGTCAAGAGGAACTGGGCATGAAGAAGGAAGTTCAAGCTGCTTTAAAGGAATTGGCGAAAAACAAGGTCCCGGGAATTGATGGAATACCAATTGATGTATTTCAACAAACAGATGCTGCCCTGGGTGTCCTCACCAGGTTATGCGAAGAAATCTGGAAGACAACTGAGATCTGTATTTATTCCCATTCCAAAATAAGTGACCTGATGGAGTGTGGAAATTATTCAACCATATCACTAATAACACACACAAGCGAGGGCCTGCTGAAGATTATCCAAAACAGCTGCACCAGTACATCAGCAGAGAACTATGAGATGTGCAAGCTAGATTTAGAAGAGGCAGTGGCACTGGGGACATCATTGCCACCGTTAGATGGATTTGGTTGAAAGCAGAGAGTACCAGAGGAGTGTCTGTGTTTCTTTGACTAAGGCATTTGACTGGATCACAACAAATTGTGGCTAACCTTGAGGAGATTGGGAATTTCAGAACACCTGATTGTGCTTAACGAAATCTAAAAAAGCAGCAGTCAGAACAGCAGGGACACACTGCATGATTCAAGATCAGGAAATGTGTCTGTCAGGGATGCATCCTGTCGTTCAGGACGCTGAACTTTATGAGGAATGTGGCATCAGAATTGAAGAGTGGCTGTGCCCTGCATGGTTTTGGGCCCCTTGTGTATTCCTCTGCCTGCTCTGCCCACAGCATGCCTGCCAGCCCACGCAGGTCCTGAACGGCGAACCCAGGTCTGGTGAGCGCTGACCAGCCAGTAGGTGTCCTCTGGATGTCTCCCCACCCCCCACCCTGGCGCAGGTGAGCTGGGAGCCATGGACACCCTGTTTTGGTGCTCCCCAAGCAGCTGCCTTCGCTGGCAAAGCAGCAGTGGCAGCGTCGAGAAAACCAGACTCACTTTGCGGAACACAGCTCCTGTGCCGGAAATTCTCTGGAAGATAACTTGTGGGTGTTCCCAAGCCCTCCCAAGTCAAGCAAGATGGCCTTTGGAGAAACCAAAAGCTGGTGATCCCTCTACCCAGCCTGCTGCCACTGCATTATTTGGATCAGTACAATCAGAACTGTCTAAGAATTAGACATTTGTGATTGGTCTACAAGGATGCTATTTCCTTCAGTGGCCACTCAAGGAATTCTTAAACTGAAAGTAGATACGGATTAAAGTTTTGCAGTTCTTTGGTATATACCCATTTGCACATATCCCATAATTATATAGTTGATTTTTCTAGTATGGAAGAATACCCCAGGCTGACAAAGAATCAGTTAGTTATATTCTACTAAACCCTAAGAAAAATCAGAAAGACTGCTTTTTCTCTTTGAGCACAATTGTAAATTTCTGTGTTTCGGATAAAGAATGGAATTGGATGTTTTGGGGCAGAGTTTTACAGAGTGTGATATGACTAAGTATATCATTTCTAAAAATCATCGAAGAGACCACTATAAAAATAAAACTTGAGTTGCATCAGATTGCGTAAAAAGTAATGTGTTACATATCTGAAAAAATACTGCAGTGGAATATTTTGTTGTACACCAAATTATTCAATCTCTGTATGTCATTGTATTGAAAATTTACCTTCTTATCCACAGTGTTGTCAGTATGATAGTTTTATTCTCCAATTCCATTTCTCTGCATATTCCATTATAATATTTTGCCCTCCTGAGCTGCCCTTTGAAATCTGTTCAGCTCTCACTCCTTTAGTTTTGGCTTCTCATGCTCCAATGCAGTCTTTAGAGTCTCTTCTGACATCCAATTAGATCTTCTCCATTTTTGTAATGACATTTTGCTTTCTTCGTGGATGATATCCTTGATACATCCCATAATTCACTTGGTCTTTGATGATTGGTGTTCAGTGCTTCAAACCTATTTTTTTTAATGTGAAAATTTTAATTATCACATTTGCTTTCAGATTCTCGTTTTCAAAAGAGTAATGAGAAATTGTGGCTCAGGGCAGTAGATACTTAAATTACAGTCTCACTTCAGTAGGACCAGGGAACACACAGCAAAGTTGGTAGGGGGTTCTGGTGTACAGGAGTTAGTCCCACTACATCTTCACATTGTACTGACAGGAGCACAGACAAATTCAGACACCAGTTGGAGAAGGACAGATCACGCTTGGCTTTATAAAAGGCAGAGGCCTCCTATAGAAGCTGTGATTGAGATTCTGTGATTGTGTTCTAGTCACTGTCACCTGAGCTCCTCTTTGCATTACACCTCTAACTGCAAGGATGAGGAGGGCACCAACTCCAAGAGAACCAGGCCATCATTATCATATAGTAGGTGTTGGACAGTTCCCATCTCAGGATGAGGGGCTCAGGCCACCCTTTAGGCTGTACTTGGCATGTGTATCTCTGCTCCTCCAGCGGGCACTACCATGGCTGCCCACTTCTGGAAGGTCCCATCCCCTGCAGGCCTGGTCTCCACAAGCTCCATGTCCTGGGTCTGGTCCTCCCTATCCCACTGCCAGGTCATAGTGATCTCCCCTGGGTAGAAGCCCAGGGCCCAGCACTTCAGTATGACCTCAAGGTCAAAGATGGACTGGTAAGTCACATGTGCCTTTGGGGAGTCTGTGCTCAGTAATATCTACCCCCTCCTCCAGATATTTGGGAAGCATAACCTCACACAGGTGCTTCATGTCGCAGGCTTTCAAGACTGCATTTTCAAAAGTCTCTTAACTCCACCTGCGGTGGATGTTCCTAGCAGCCTCGTTCCTGAATGTCCACCTCACTCGACAAGAAGAAATCCACACCATTGTAGGCTTGCCGCATATCTTCTGTATGTTCCCATCTAACCTCAGGTAGCAGCCACACTCGCCCTGGTCAGTGAAAGACCTGGACTCGCTGTGGTTGTAGTAAGTGAGCAGGGTCTCAAGATTCTCTCGGAAAATTCATGGAATCTTTCTGTTGATCCACATCTTGTAGTACCATTCCACCTTTATCCTTTCATCCATGGCATCAGTAGCTCTGACCTCAAATTCTCAGCATCGCTGTTGCTCTCAAACTGCACGAATGCTGTGTTGTTCACAAAACTTAACTTCAATGTACCAGGGCTCCTGGCCTGGCTGGGACACGACAGTGTGCAAATACCGCACAGAGTGGGAGCCCTTCCAGCACTGGGGCAGAGCAGAGGCAGGGCCCCCGAGAGGAGCAGGAGGAGGGCCCAGGAGCCCATGACTCCTGGGCATTGAGGTTTTAGGGCAAGTCTTGAGTCCAAAAGAACTTTGTTATTGTGAACCGCAGTAACGGTGATTGGTTTCTCCAGAAATCATAGACCCGGTGGAAGTGAGAACTAAGATCATGTCACATGTGTCTAGACTTGACTAAGCTTACAAAAACTGAGGAGAGGTGACACTCGAATCCTCAAAGGTAGGTCTCCACATCCCTGAGGCGGCTAGGACTTTGCTATGTCTGACTTGTCCTCCTGCAATTGAGTCTCAAAGCTAGCTCTCCCCACTCCTGACTGGACGAGGACTTTGCTCTGGCCCTCCTTCTCCCAAACCTATTCTTAAAATGATCTTGAAATTCAGAAGGAATTAATTCAAGATTGTATCTTGGTTCCTGTGAAATTATTTTCATTTTCTTCAGCCTCAATTTGAACTTTCATATGAGTAAGTGATGACCTGACAGAGTCTGCCTCTAGCCTAGTTGTGTTGTTTTTTTGTTTTCTTTTAGATTGATTTATTTTACTAAGTTCTATTCCTTCACACACAGGCACATCAAATTGTGCTACCCATCCTCACCTCTCTGCTTCCGCTCCCTCCTCCCCCAGATCCTCATATTCATTCTACAATAATGGTTTTATATAGTATTTGTGCTTATGGGATTGAGTTAGTTCATGCAGCATAATGCTCTCCAGTCCTTCCCAAGTTAGGTATTAATTTACAAATCATTGCTCCTCCATGTTGCGTAACATTCCATTGTGTGAATGTACCATAATTTCTTAGTCCGTTCTACTGTGGCTGGACATTTGGGCTGTTTCCATGTTCTTGTGATGGTGAATAACGCTGCTATGAACATTGGTGTACAAGTCTCCATTTGAGCCTCAGTTCTCATTTTCTGTGGCCCCCTGACCTAGTTTTGACTGCCAATATTGAGCTCCAATGATTTCTTCCACCAATGTAGTCAGTCTGATTCCTATGCAGCCCATCAAGTGAGAGCCATAAAGGTTACCAATGGTGAACAAGTTTTGGTGGAGCTCCCTGATTTATACAAACTAGGAAGCAAGATATTTTGGACATGTTGCTAGGAGGGGTTATTCCTTAGAGAAGGACATGATGCTGGGAAGGGTGGAGGATCGGAAAAGGAGAGGAAGACCCTCAACCGGGTGGATTGACACGTTGACTGCTGCAGTGGGCTCTTGTGTGTCAGGAAGTGTGAAGATGGTGCAGGACAGGATTGAGTTCAAATCTTATGTTCATAAGGTCACTATGAATTACACTCGACAGCGTCTAAGAACAACAACAAGACATTAGTGAGATAAGATGGACCAGCTCTAGCTACTTTGAATAAGATAATCGTGGTATACTGTGAAGGGAATGAAAAACAGAAGAATGGTGCTGCGTTCATATTCATTGCTTAACACTAGAGCTCTGGAAACAGTAAATGGAAAAGTGATTTCCAGGGGGAAAACGAATTAAGATGTACATGGGACAGGCCATAGGAAGTCTGCCAAATTTGGTACAGGATTGTGTTCACTGATACCCACATGAGCAGTGTGGTCAGCCAGCTGTAGCCTCAGTTTGGCCTGTAGTTGTTCTGGGGGCTGCTGTGTCTCTACCTCTTCTTGTCATTTGTGCCATCTGACTGTAATTGTAGTCGTGGCCTTAGTGGTAACTGTGATAGGCTGAGTAGTCCTAGCCACCATGCCTGGCCACTAACCTTAGCTCCAGCTCAGACTCTGATCTCCACTTTCAACACCACTGCAAGTGCTTCTAGTCCCTCAGTTGTTATTTCCATGCCCTCAGAGCCATGTTGCTGCTGCTGGTACCTCTTGATCAGGGCCACCTTGATTTCACACTTGCTTCCCCTGACAGTATTTAACTTTTTCTCCAAAACCTTTTTCATAGGTTTCTATTCTTTGTAATGAAAACAAAGCCACGTCTTTTGTTCTACTTTGGTTCCATGAGAAGTTAGTCTCCCCAAATTCTCCTAAGTACTTATTGATCTCAGTGGCGTCAGGATCCAGACCACTACCAAAGATGTTCTTCCCTGGGTCCTTCTTCATTGCCATCATCTTTTTGGGTTCAATGACACACCATCCAGCCTGTGTTCTTTCAGATCTAGCACCTTCTTCACACTGGTTGAATTTTTAGAGGATAAACCCTCTTGACCTTCCAGTGTTAGGGTCCATTTTTATTGTGCAGTCAACAACCCCTCCAAACTTAGTAAAATAGTCTTCGGTATTTTTTGCTGGTATCCTAGCTCAGACCACCAAAAACCATTTTTTGTGTGCCCTCTTCATTCTGGCTAGGGTTGATCCGAGCTATCTCGGGGCTCATCTCTAGTCTCAGGTGCCAGCCCCGACCAGTGACTTACCTTCGAGGACAGCCTTGAGCCTATTTCGGTGCCACGTGTCATCTCCGTGGATTGATCCCCATGTGCTTTTGACATACTTTAGAGAGTGTGCTGCTCCTTGGTGCTGATGACGCTGCAGGGACCAAGTGTCCCACTCACCCAGAAAGTTGCTTCAGACTCCTTGCTCTCAGCCCAGTTCCCACCATCTGGGTTGCCCCTACACAGAACCTGTGACTCAGCCC